TCTCTCTCTCTCTCAGCCTTTACTGCCCCTCTTTCCTCAAGTATCTGAATCAGGATGTTTCTGACCCCATTTCTCTGGATCTCTATCCCAATGGATTGGCTCCCACCCTGACCTGGTCAATCAGAGATTGGGAGGAGAACACCTTCACTAAATATTTTGTAAATCATGTTTCCAGGGTTAAGCTACAACAACGATGGGCATTGTCCTCTTCAGAAACAATGTGAAGGAAAATTGTTTGGTGCTCCAGAGTTTCATTTCACTTCCATGTCTGCACCTCTCTGTTATGGTGTGGAGGTGCTGGTGTTGGACTGGAGTGAACAAGGTCAGAAATCATACAACATCAGGTTATAGTCCAACAGGTTTATTTGAAACTCCGTTATCATCGAGTTTCCTTAACCTATAAAGATGTTATAGTGCAACCACTGGGCTCAGAGGGAGCCAGGATGTTCTGCAACGTTCTGCCATTGTCACCAACAATCTCAGTCTTTGTGAAGAAGTAGCATATCACACACTTCATTGGATTGGGTGTGACCCCAGGTAGAGACTAGACGCGCTGAAAACAAAACATGCTGACGAACACAGTGGACCAAGCATCATCCATGGAAAGAGAGCAAGCTAACAATTTCAAGTCGAGATGACTGTTCATTAGAGACAAGCTGTGCCATTAAATGCCTGTTGCTTGCAATGCTGGTTCCAAGTGTTGTTCCACGCATTAGCCTTCAGTGAGGTGAGAGATGTTAGCTGTTCTGACATCACATTTCCTGTGACTCTCCTTGACAAATCCATTGAGTTAAGTGTGGGGGGAGGCGGGGTGTTGATGAGTACATTTGAGGTAACAGCCAACAAAAGTTTAAACAAAATTGTTTCTCACATTGTAAGAAAACGGTTCCTTCAAATTATTGTCTCTTGACAGTCGACCAAGACATGTGTTTCTGGAAATCCATTTCTATCTGTCTTTCAGATGCCAGCAGTGAGGATTCTGAATCCAACATGAATACATCACGCGTTGGTAGGTTATTGAAATCAATTCAGTGACTTTAAGCCTGGGCCCAGATGGCAAATTCACCCTGGGTATACCCTCACCCTGGGTAAACCCTCACCCTGGGTATACCCTCACCCTGGGTATACCCTCACCCTGGGTATACCCTCACTCTGGGTATACACTCACCCTGGGTATACCCTCACTCTGGGTACACCCTCACCCTGGGTACATACTCACCCTGGGTATACCCTCACCCTGGGTA